ATGCTGTGTGTGTGTCAGTGGTCTCGATGTGCTGTGTGTGTCAGTGGTGTCAACGTGCTGTGTGTGTGTCAGTGGTGTTGCCGTGCTGTGTGTGTGTCAGTGGTGTCGATGTGCTGTGTATGTCAGTGGCGTTGCCGTGCTGTGTATGTGTCAGTGGTGTCGATGTGCTGTGTGTGTGTCAGTGGTGTTGCCGTGCTGTGTGTGTGTCAGTGGTGTCGATGTGCTGTGTGTGTCAGTGGTGTCAACGTGCTGTGTGTGTGTCAGTGGTGTTGCCATGCTGTGTGTGTGTCAGTGGTGTCGATGTGCTGTGTGTGTCAGTGGTGTCAACTTGCTGTGTGTGTGTCAGTGGTGTTGCCCTGCTCTGTGTGTCAGTGGAACAGATCTGCTGTGTGTGTCAGTGGTATCGCCCTGCTCTGTGTATCAGTGCAGTGGTGCAGTTCTCTTGCCTGTGTCAGAGGTGAGGCAGTCTTTTGAAATTCCAGTCTGCACCAGGATGCTGAGGACTGTCTTTATTTTGTTGCTCTGTAAGTTCTGTTTTTTCAGCTAAAGCTCATTTGAATTCAGTTTTTCTTCAAGCTAATGAAATAGGAAGCTTACAAATCTGGACCAAAACCCAGTTATAAAGAAAAAAAACAATACTGAATTCCAGAAAACTTGTCAGCATATTTAAAAAATGTTTGAAAAACAGGTGTTTTCAAATTTACTCCAAATCTGCTTTCCCGGATGAGAATTAGATTAGCATTATGAAATGTCTTCATAGCAAGTGCAGCTGTGTAAAACCATCTGAAGCTCTGTTGGGCTATTTAAAAGTTAAATGATGAACAAAACTAGGAAGTTAAGAGCACCTTACAATTGAAAAGAAAAAAAGAAAGAGCAGTTAATGTCGGACGTGTGTAGGACTTGCAGAATGATTAAGAATTTGTTGTCTGTGGCTCCTCTGACTGTGCTTTTATGGTCCTCTCAGTAGGAATGTTGAACAAGAAACAATTATATTCAGTTTTTAAGTACCCTGGCAGGCTGTGTGCTGTGTGGTGCTCACCTCTGTCAAGTGTGAAGAGTAGAATATGATTAGTACATGAGCTATACATCTATGCACTATACAGTATCTCATCAGCACCTAAGTGCATTTTTTATTCAAAGGTCCGTGCAGTCATTTTAAATTTCAGTTAATTTACGGCCAAAGTTTTTCTTCATCTAGACTGATTTTAAAGTTTTTTGTCTGATGACCCAGAGGACATGTGAATATGTGTTTTGGCAGTATAAGACTGAAATCAAATTCCAAGATGTTAAAGAATGTTGTCTGAAGGCTAAATGTAAATAAGACTGGACTGACAGTAGAGTCCTGAGGGACATTAACAGTGTGAGAAAGAGATTTAACTAAAGAGAGAAAATGACATCAATCAGTGTTTTAAACCAAGACAAAACTGCAGCAGAAAGACCAACTCGCTGATAAGAATGAAAAAAACACCTGAACTTGTCTGAAGGGTAGAGCTGGAATTTCCCTGAGTTTTATTAGATAATTTCCAACATCTGACCTGATGCTTCTCAAACTGGCTGAATTGTTTAACCTACAGAACTGCAATGACAGGTTTGTGACCAATGAGTGGCATGTAAAAATGAAATTACTTTTATAAATCAAGGAATCTGACTGCCTTGCTAGTTGTTTGCATTTAGATTAATTGTAAATTTAAAACCCTGCTGTTAATATGATATTTACACATTACAGACACCTCTGATATTTCTGTCTTTTTAAGTGTCTTACGTTAAGTGTGATTTGCCCACTTCTGAAGAAGGTCTTTGGGCTGGGATGTCAGACTTTTTTAAAAATGTGGAACAATATATTGAAATCTTTTAACCTCATTCTAGGACATTTTTTGCTCACTTTGTATCTTTGCTGCTGACTTTGCACAAGTTGGGTTTTCCAGTTGTTTATGCTGACTTCTCCATATCTGACATTGCTTCAATGAACAAATTAATTCATTGAGCAAATTGATTATCTTTTTCTCCTTCTCTGCTTGCAGGCAAGTGTTTGGGAATTCTGAATGTGATCACGGTAGCAGGTAGGTACTTTTATTACACAACACAGAATCCTGCAGTGTGTGGGTCACCAAGTCTGAAGTGTCACAGGTCTCCTCTCTTGCTCTCTAAAAGCTGCAGGATTCAAATGCTGCTGTCATCAGATTTCAGTAGGTCTGAGGACGACTGCAGCTGCTCTTCACAGCCATGCTCAGACCTGTGTTGACACTGGTGCCCCATCAAGGGCTTTTCAAGGGGCACAGGGTGGAACAGCTCTGTTTGATAAGGAAAAGCATCATCACCTCCACCCTCCTGATCTCAGGGAAGGGGCTGTATGAGAGGGATGTCTCTTGGGTCCCCAGTCCTCCAGCCAGTCTCAGAAATACAAGGGAGGAGCCCGTGTGGAGTCCAGCCTGAGTGCCTCAAGCGCCTCTCACACTGGCAGCTGCCCAGCCCACTGCTGCCCTCTACACTTTTAATATCGTGTTACTTTCATCTTTTCTTTTTAATCAAAATTAGACAAAATATTATTTCCCAGTTATTTTTTCTGGCTCTTCCGGGAGCCATCTACGGGCAGGGCAGCGGTCCTGTCCTGCTGGGTGGGGTCGGGTGCTCCGGGGACGAGGCTGTGCTCTCAGACTGTCCGTCTGCAGGCTGGGGGAGGCAGAGCTGCAGCCAGGGGCTGGACTCCTTTTCTGTGTTTTTTCTTATTTTAACAGGAGTTATTCAGAAGCCCAGCCTGTCCCTGCTGTCCCCTCACCCTGCCTTCAGTCCTGGAGAAGACGTCTCTTTCAGCTGCTTTCCAGGCTCCACACCAGCATTGGCTTTGACTTGTACAGGAGCAGTGCAGGGAGCCCCACTGTGACCCGGACACAGACCACAGTGGAGCTGAGGGTGTCTGACCTGGACTCCTCACACCAGGGCAGCTACAGCTGTCAGTACAGAGTCCAGGGAAGAGGGCAGAACTTCAGCTCTCCTCGCAGCGACTCCATAGACATAACAGTGGGTGAGTTGAACAGGAGACTCTCTTTTGTGCTGACGTGTAGTTTTAAAACTGGAAACTTTCGTGGACCAGTCCCTTCTCTTCTCATGAGGATGACCTCATTCTAGGGTGTTGTGCTGCTTTTGCCAAAAATATGTATTGCAACATATAATGACCTTTCAGTTTAAAGATTAGAGGAAGCATGTTTTATAGTTTTAGTCATCATGGTATAATACTTTGTCAACATGCTTCAGAGTGTACTGCACAATCACAAGTCATTCTGAAACAAGTCCAGATAATGACAATATATACACTTGTGAGCTCATGTATAAAACTATTTATTTTATATTGTTCTTAAATTCTGTTCTTTATCATAAATGTTGGAAAAAAGCAACTTATTTTATAGGACATATTCAGCAGGGAATTATACCTAAAAAAGATAATACTTCCACCCACACTTCAATCCGTGGATGTTCTCCTCTGCAGATCCTCTTTGAATTCTGCTGAAAGCTTTCTCTACATTTCTGACTGATTTAAGTCATTCAAATTTAACTTGCACTCATCTTGCCAGAAGAAAGGTCATAAGGTTTAAACTGAAAGGTCATATTTTCCTCCAGCTGCCCAAACTGACAAAGGGCTTCTTTCTAAATGTATAACTCCTGAATCTCTTCTGCGCTGTTCTGCGGCAGTGGCTCCCAACCCTGGTCCTGGAGAAACACAATGTCTCTATAGCTATTGTACGAACTGATAACTTTATTTAACTTGTTTCTTTGATCAGCCCTGTGTGTCAGAAATACCCAGGAACTGAGGGTACTGTCTCCCACACCTTCAGCACACAGGAATGTACACAGCCTCTCCTTAACTAGCTTGTCCATATTTCTGATTAAGGTGCTCTTACTACTTGATCGATTTGTGATGCTCAGAAACAGATGGCATGACGACACTATATCACATAACACCATAAGTAGTGTTTCTCTTTTTGCAGAGGTCCACTCTATTACATTTCATGTAACACATAACATAAATGAGAGCATTTCTGAAACTCAGAAGTAAGTACAGGTTTGATTTACATTACAAATCCCATTTGAACGCAAATTTACATACAGTACATGCCCCATAATGAACTCCTACAACCATCAAGAATACAGCGGGTGCAAAAACTGAAAGGCACACTGTTCCTCCAGGATAGAACCACTGTTCTATAGCATTGTGTTGTGACTCTTCTGGAAAGAGATGGATTTTAGTTTTAAAGTGTAAAATCTGAAGTTAAAAGCGTGTAGAAGAGTTTTCCCTTGATCACCCCAGGTGTAAAGATCTAGCTGCAACATTCACTCTCCCTTCAGCCTTGAGCTGCCCTCTTCATCTTCCACCCACAGGCACTCCTCCTGCATCCCTTGACCTTTGCCCTCTATAATGGTAACATCCAGCCTCTTATTCTGCTTATGAACTTCAGCCCAGAATCACCATCAGCGAACCTGATGGAGAGGTGACCCTAGGCAACAGCTTCACCATCACTTGCTCTGTTAAGGTGGTGCCTTTCACCTGCAGATCAATGGAATGGCTGTTCAGTCAGAGAGCACCTACAGTGGCTCCGTCACCTTCTCGGTTCCTGCTGCACAGTATTCCCACATGGGGAATTATACCTGCAGCTATGAGGCTGAAGTGTTCAATCGGACGTTTGTCTCACCTTCAAGTGCTTTGATGCCCCTAACTGTGAGAGGTAAGGAATCAGAATGGCTGAAAATGCTCTGTTGTGTTGTGCATGAAAAGAAAATTGTTCTGAGAATTTAAAGCATTTTCACTTTCCTTTTTAATTTCCAGTGAAAGAGGAGGCTGCATTGGACTGTATTTTTACATTCATTGGGATCTTCACAAACTGCTCATGACATGAAATTATAATACTTTGCAATATGTAAGCAAACATTTTTGCAAATGAACAACAATTTTAGTAAGCCCTTAGAATATTGAAGTGTTCCCTACTGAGAATGACATTCCATTTCTAATTCATGAGCGCATATGTTTTCTATCAAGCCCTCCAATCCTTTATTCATAGATAAACCTCCTAACACTGTTGATATGAATGTCAGTGCTTCAGAGCGATATCACCACCCACTGCTCTTAGCTTTCCACGGATTCTGTGGAGAAGAGCCTGAGGTTCAGAACAAGTTCCTGGGATCCACCATTAGGATTTCTCTTTCACTCTAGAGTCCCTGCTGAAGCCTATAGTCCTGCGGTGATGTTAGTGGTGCTGTTGCTGTTGATCCTTTTCATCCTCTTCCTGCTGTGTAACAAAAAGAAGAGAAAACAAGAGAAGGGAGCCACTGCAGCTTGTGAGTACCAGTCCTCCAGAATCTCTGTGCTCCAGCATTGACCTGCTCTGAGTGACATCATCCCCTCCCCTTGGGATGAATCGGGATGAATCGAAACAGCCTCCCCTAGTTTGTAAGCTTTCTAATGTGCAGTGCAGTGACCTCAGATTGCTCCTGAGAGTCAGTGAGTCTCTCAGGGCCTGTGTGCTGCTATCCAGGAGTTCTTCTTCAGCATGTCCAGCCTAAACTGCTACATTCATGTTTGTGCTTTCATGTTCAGTTTCTTGTTGTTTCTGCATGAGTCGCATCAATGTTCACTCTATGATGCTTTAGAGGTGCTCCAGACACCCATTATAAATGTATCCATTGCTCCATTTAGGAATTTAAGCAAGTTAATCTGCACACTGCCTGGCAGAACATTAAAACTATGGCCACAGTCAATATCAATGAGGGTCTCAAATTTATCCTAGTAGATGGAATAAGTGGACAGGCTCTACCTGATTAGTTAAATTTAAGTTTTTAATTCATTTTCGAAAAGTATAGTTTCTCCACTCAACTCAATTATTTCTGACAGTTATTTACAGCAGGAAAAACACTGCAAATATCAACTCGTACAGTTGCAAACCATTTTAAAAAGATTCAGGTCAACAAGGCAGCAGGTCTAGATGGAATATGTGGCAGAACACTAAAGTATTGTGTGGAAGAACTGAGTGGAGTTTTAAAACACCTATTCCAGCTCTCTTTTGACACTTTTTACAGCTGTTTGGAAGCACTCTACAGCTCTATCCATTCCTAAGGTGAACAGACCTGAAGCTCTCAGTGACTTCAGGCTTATAGCTCTGAAATCATTACTGGTGAAGACTCTTGAAAAAATACTCAAGTCACATATTGAGTCACATATCAGATCTTGACCCCTCCAGTTTCCCTTCCATCCTGGAAGGGGAGTCGATGAGGATAGAATTTTTCTACAGATGTTCTTCAGAAACATTTTGTCACAAAAGCCTGGTTGGTGTCCTGTGGAGGATGGTATTTAGATACTTCGGATTGTATCGTCCACATAGGGTCTGGAAAGAACTCTTCCGTTACAGTTATTTTAAGCTATTCTGCAAACCCCATAATGTCTGGGTGTTTTTTATATCAGTCTTCTTCAGCACTTTCGTAGCCGGCTCCTCTGACTTGATTCTGTAAAGCACCTTTCAGGACAGTGAACCGTGACTGGTTGGATAGGAGATCTTAGATGTTTGTGTTTGACATGAGGGATTGTGTTAGTGTGTCTTGAAGTAAAGCTGGTCTCTGCATTACAAACAGCACCTGTGGGCATTGGGAATAAGATGTTTCTCAGCCACACAAAGCCATGAAGCCGTGGCTCTGAGCATAGACCACAATCACACGGACCCACTGGTGCCATGCAGTGGGACAACAGCACCTCCTCCAGTTTCTGTCAGGTGTACAGAGGAAAATGACCAATGACCAATAAGGAAAATGACCAATGAATTATAGTGTTGTCAAAGCAGATACAATTAACACATTTACATTACATACTGTACATATTGATAGACAGGCTCACTGTCTCTTCCTCAGGCTGGGACAGGAGATCAGATCAGAGCAGATCACTTTATTAGCCATATACAATTTCTTGTATTAGGAATTTGTCTTTTCGCATACCACAACTTGCTTTCCATAAGACAGAAAGACAGGGAGAGAAGCTTGGTGTCAGAGTGCAGGGTCAGCCATTTATACAGTGGCCCTTGAGCAGTTGGGGTTAAGGGTCTTGCTCAGGGGCCCAATGGAGTAGGATTCCTCTGCC